ATAATATATATATGTATACTAACATATAGTATATAGTATATATAGTGTTAGTAGTATATATTCCTATAATTCGATTTCTGAAACAAATCCGAGTCGCGAGATATCCTTGGCCACATCTACAATCTGCCAGTGATTCAGTAGTGCAGCCTATCGATTGGACTAATAGCTATTCAATAGTTAGTTTATCATGTAATCACTGGTGACAGCATGCGTATGTGTGTGTGCGTGCGTGCGTACGTGCGAGTGTGTGTGCGTGGAAAATGCCATGCATGAAGAAACAGTGCTTCGTGAAAACAAACAAGTGCCGCATAGCGACAGTGCTCATCTGAGGTCGTCTGCTGCTCTACTGTACTGCCCTTCGCTACGGCACAGGGCTATAGGACATTTCACATATTTAGGTTTTCCCTATGGTGCTGCAAAGGGCTGTACAGAAAGAGCCAAACAGATAAGGTAGAGATAAATGACGGTGTCAGGAGAGCTCATAGCTCATAGCTCATCTAGCTATGAGTAATAAATTCAGTGAACACATCTGCATTGCATAAACAGGACTTTGGCTGGGTGCTGCTAAATTTACAGACTGCTTTAGAAAATAATATGATAATTATTATTAATATAAAGGAGCGTAAACCTTGTTCAACAAACTTTTGCCTTTGCAATTGAACTGTGCAAATGTTGCCTTTCACATCCACACAGGTATGGGCTCTAATAGCAAAGCAGTTCAGTCCTTTGTTAACAGTCAACAAATCAATGTTTAACCCTCCTCTTGGGGTCAAAAGGTCACCAGACAGTTACTCTTCACACATCAGCGAAGAGCACATTTCATGGTCCTTTGAATAAAGCCATAAAAATGGTAGGTCACCACTGAAACAAAAAAGTTTTTCACTCGGTCTGTCAGACCATGTCCTCAACAAATGTCTAAAATCTGCCCTTTGACCTGTGACATCCAATTTTGGTACAGTGATGGCTTTTCCCACCATGACGCTAATACCGATTATCAAGAGCATAGGTCAAGACGTTTAGATTTGTACCACAATTCCGTTTTTCCTCCCTATACCTTAATTTAAAGGGGAAACCTTCCCCCATTCCTTTAAATATCCTAACCTTTGACGCTTGACCCCCAGTCCACTATTCGAGATACCAATGTGTTTTCGGATTACCCACCGTACGTCAAGCCGTTTAGATTTGTGCCCAACTGTTGATGGACGGACGGACGCTCATGCCATTGTACAAGCTCCATCTGACTGTGTCAGATGAGCCAAAAACATGGTGACCTGTGCCACTTATGGACATCTAATTAAATGTAAAAGAACACATCTTGCATTAAAATTAAAGTAAAAAATTCTAAGAGAAGGTTCCCTTCACAGGCATACAATATCAGATAAAAGTAATTCTACTGTATTCACCTGACTGGAAATGTTGGGTCATACTCAAAATCGACTAATTCCGAAGGGTAACCAATTTCAATGAGTCGTTGAATGACCAACTGGAATGCAAGTGATTCATACTCAGGACTCTTGTAAACTGCAAACATAAAAATTCACAAGCATTAGGGATATAGGTATCATTTGTGTGCTGCCAGAACGGGTGAACATGCATGAGTGATTTTAGATTAGAATACAAGCGGGTCAGGGTGATGAAGAATGGAGGTTGAGGAAAGAATATCATATAGTCTAAATTGTAGAGCAATTGCACACTTGGACAGGAAATCGATCCAAACACATTCTTAATACCTGCAAGTGTGTAATCCATATCAAATCCGTAAAACCTTATTTTCTTTATGTGAAGACTCCTGTTTACAAATACTCTGAAAAAAATATTAAACAGAACTCTGAATGTTATATATAGGATGTCAGGTAAACTTGTTTTTGCAGTAAACTCTTATTACTTATTACACTAAGCATTACACAGAATGTTATTAGATTCTAATAGAACATAATTATTGACCTGCTACAGTTCCTATTTTAAACACATGCATTCTGAGTAAGCTGACAATCTTAACCTGCCTCCACATGTACCTGAACTACTACTTTCCATGATGACATGAAAAACACGTGTTGTCAACCCATAAACGATTGTGATCGTCACCTCTTGTGCGGCATGTATTCCTCGTCTCCGTCACCAACCCAGCAGTCCAGTCCCTGCCATGGACCAATTCCTAACATGGGGATTATGGTAGAGATCTTGCGGCTAACCGATCCTGGCAAGTCACTCAGAAGACTTCCTGCACTTAGGGAGGACAGCCTGTCATCACTGATGGGACTGGTTAGGGTCGCCATGCCTGTATCTTTGCTTGTGTCCCCCATGTTTTCTTTGCTATATCTCCGTATCCCACTGGTTTCTGGTTATACTTATAGCCCCCCCCCCCACTATGAACATTTGGGGTATAGTGTATCGTTGTATCCTGTTGAACACAAAAATATAGCATCTCCAGGTTATTAAAGATGAAAGAAAATGACATCTTTATAGCACCTTACACATCATCAGCTCGTGGTGAAATACGAAGTTGTTTTTGTCAAATACATATAAAACTAGAAAGGGCAGTTGTCGCCAACTACATGTTTCCCCCGTGATCTAGTATGAATGAAATATATCTGTAAAGACGTAGAAGGTAGGTAAAGTTAAATAAGTTACAAAAACAAAGGTTTGTTACACAACTCATCTGCCTGAGATGTGCAAGTATGTTAAAATTGGTTGCCTTAGGGGTTTTGGTACGCAACACACCTTCTCCCCAAGATATGTAAGTATACGAAGTTTGCTCGCACTAGGTCAATTAGGGGCCGAGTTATAGAGCAGAAGAAAAATATGATAAAGGTCAAGGTCAAGGTCAATGTCAAATAAACATAAAGGTTGCAGTGACCTGGTTTCGGTACGCGACACACCTTCTCCCCAAGATGTGTAAGTATACCAAGCCTGGTCCTGCTAGGTCAATTAGGGGCTGAGTTATAGAGCAGAAGGAAAATATGATCAAGGTCAATGTCAAGGTCAAATAAAAGCCACAGTGACGTGGTTTTGGTACGCGACACACATTCTCCCCAAGATGTGTAAGTATACCAAGTTTGGTAGCGCTAGGTAAATTAGAGGCCGAGTTATAGAGCGGAAGGGAAATATGATCAAAGTCAATGTCAAGGTCAAATAAAGGTTGCAGTGACCTGGTTTTAGTACGCAACACACCTTCTCCCCAAGATGTGTAAGTATACAAAGTTTGGTAGCGCTAGGTAGGGGCCGAGTTATTGAGCGGAAGAGAAATATGATCAAGGTCAAGGTAAAGGTCAAATAAAGGATGTAGTGACCTGGCTTTGGTACGCTGCGCACCTTCTCCCCAAGATGTGTAAGTATACCAAGTTTGGTAGCGCTAGGTCAATTAGGGGCCGAGTTATAGAGCGGAAGTGAAATATGATCAAGGTCAATGTCAAGGTCAAATAAAGGTCGGAGTGACCTGGTTTTGGTATGCGACATACCTTCTCCCCAAGATGTGTAAATATACCAAGTTTGGCCACGCTAGGTCAATTATGGGTCGAGTTATAGCGCAGAAGGAAAAGTGTCTGTGGTGGTGGCGGTGGCTGGACAGACATGAAACCATAATATCCCCGCCAACTTTGTCGCGGGGGATACAATAATACTAATGCTAAAAAATGCTATATATGATACTGTAGCGGTACTACACTACTATTCTTTGCCTAGCTTGAGGTGAGGTGCAATTCCCAAAGAAATACGCAGTGTCAAGACCGGTTAATAAAGCTTATATGTGACCCAATCTGGCAAAATGAGTCAGAGTGACCCAAAACATGAACATTACATTATCTTGTACGGTATTCGATTGCTGATGGCAGATGCTCATTTGAAGTTTGTATTATGTCAATAATTATTCCAAACCAAAATATAGAAAAAGGCAAAAAAATTTAAGGATACGTACCTGTACAGCTTTTGCACTGGTATTGATCTAATGAAGAGTAAACGTTTATTGACAAGTGAATCGAATCAATCATGCGTTTTATTTATAGATGGGATGTATGTCTATGCTCAAGCAGAGAAAATTCCATAAAATTTCCAGCACCTAATTAAGTGACAACACAAATTTTATGTAAAAATGGAATTTTTGATATTTCTCAATGGTAGTGTGGAAGCAAAATTTAAGCCACAAGTTAAGCACAATATGTACCAAAATAACGCATCACGATTTTTCGTCGTTTCATATTTACCGAAAAAAATGAAAAAACTGCCAAAAAATCAAGTTGTATGTTCAAAATTTAATTAAATTAAAATTTAATTTAATTCGAATTTTTTTGCGAATAAATAAGCATTTAACTAATTAAATACGGTACCTAATATCAATCACTGGCGTGCTTTTTGACAGCATTATATATTGCCATAATATGATGTTGCCGTAAGCGAATGTAAAATTTAATTATTCCGAGTTGTAATCACAGAGAAATATCCATTTATACATCGGCTACTGTGACAAAAATCGAAACGCAGAAATCAGCGTTTTTATATTTTTCACAACGATCAACCGCCTGTGTGCGAAATGGGTCAATGTATTTGAAACATCTAATGTTAGTACTTACTGCGACATATCCATGACTAAAACTGCAACCACTAAATTGGTAAAATGTTCTATGCACCTTGAGAAATTGTAAGAATGGTTGTGTTTTGTAACCGGCTACTCTTGATTGCATCTCAACGCCACCAATTATACATGTGTATTGTGTGTACATACATGTGTGTGTTATAGAATAGCTGTGGGTCGCTGCACAGGTGCGTGGGCAATGAGAATGCTCTGAAAGTTCACATGCATCAGCATATATGGAGAAATGAGTGTGTACAGAGGTGGCCCCTAGTGTGAGCGATTGTATAAGAATGAAAACAAGAAATCGATAAAATTTCCTGGAAAAGCTGGACAGTAACTTTAGTTTGGGGAATGAATGTGATGAAACCTTTTCTACAACTCCTTAGCAATGATAGGGTTACACTTGTTTGATTAAAACCAAACTTGGCACAACACTTAAAGCCGCACAATGCACATCAAAACGCTAATTTCTCCAGTACTAGACTAGCAAATATTTCGTGTCATGCATAATCACACTACCTTATGACAAAATAAACTCTAGTTCCTCCCATTTCACTGCGCGTTTGCTTATAAAAGGTATTTGAAAATACCTCCAATGTTGTTCAAATTCTCCGATGTTGTTGACAGTTTCCCCAAGCAACCGTGCTGTCCGTGCAGCGGTGCTGCGGTACAGCGGTACGGGTGTAGCAAAGATAAAAACATGTGACGTCAGCTCACCACTTCGAGGCTAAATTGTTTGGCAAACAAGTCGGCGTTTGCGCCAGAATGCCAGTTTTCTCACCTCTTTCTTGTGGGTTTCAAGCAAACGCGCAGTGAAATGGGCAGGGAGCAACTAGAGTTTATTTTGTAATAAGGTAGTGTGATTATGCATGACACGAAGTATTTGCTAGTCTAGTACTGGAGAAATTAGCATTTGGATGCGCATTGTGCGGCTTTAAGTATACCAAAAACAATAATTTCACAAACACTAGTATTTAATTTGACTTTCAATTTTTTTAAATGGAGATAATTTCGGCATTTTCTTTCATTGTTTTCGGAAATTCTATGCAGGTTAGTGAGGGATAGGGTCCACAAAATGTTAAATTTGAACATTATATCTATCACTGTGGACTTTGAGACTTTGGCAGGTGAAAATTGAGTATCACATCTATTCAAATTAATTAAAAACGAAAAATCGTTAAATAATCAATCGTTTAGCCTGTAGGCAAAAATCGCTAATTGAGACTTCCGACTCATTTTGCCAGATCCTGTCAGCACCTACATAAGCTTTAGTAACCGGTGTAGCAGCGTGTTTCTTTGGGAATTGCAACTCACCTCAAGCTAGGCAATGCAAAGAATAGTAGTGTAGGTCCACAACAATATACAGTAACTAGCAGGATATCCGGCGTTGCCCAGGGAAATCAGTGGCGTTACTCAGCTGGTGACTGCTTGGTTGAAAAGTAAATACCCTAAAAAATCTACATCCGGAATCCCGGTGTAGGAGACGGATGTTCTAGCGATTAGGCCACTGCGACATTAAGGGTATACACCATGGGGATTCACACGTAATCTGTACGCACCGCCATCTATTGATGAATAGAATTTTTATCAATTTTTAACTTTTTAACTTTTTTAAATTTTTGTTTCAGCCAGAACCACCTCCCAGACGTGCTGATTCTGAATATATCTTTAGTTTTCCTCTAGGCTGCGGAGTTCTCTAGTTATGCGAGTACGAACTAATTCGGCTAAACAACTTTATATAGATAGATAATTATCTA